TATGCACTGCAAACGGAGTAATGTGAACCTGGCATTATGTGTGTGCGCTGCGAGTGTGCATGAGCACACTGTCTACAGGAGAGCGCACGAGCGCTGAATGGTTAAACACTGGCAAGAATTAAAAAGAAATGCAATTTATCAAGTTTAGTGACGACGTGACACTGCCTCGACTGTGCAAGTGACAATTCCTGTGTCAACTGTGCAGCATGCAGCTCTCTTATAGACAGACTCGATGTGTGGTGATTTGAATCAATTTGCGTATTTTGAGAGAGAGCGAGAGCGCGCGGTGATTCACTCACGCTGTTTGTGAAATTACGTCTCACACAAGGTTTTCAAATTACTTTATAAGTTATTTAATGAAGAAATATGAAGGTGAGTACCTCACCTTCAGCATTATAATTGTTTCACCCAGGCCGGACAGAGACAGACGGTGCCGCTGCATGTCGTGCCAAACCTCTCACGGCAGCGTCATCAGCTTGAGATCGGTTTTTTGAGATCGGCCTTTAAGAGACCGCCGATCAAACATCCCAACGTGATTATCGGCAGATAGTGATCGGTAGCCGATCAATCTGAGCACCCCTACTTGTTAGTACCTAAATCACTATCAGTGTGATTGGGCAAGTCAGTGTCGGGTTGGTGGAGTTTTGTTTTATCCACGAGGCACAGATCCTGTTGAATCTGGCTGGTGTCTTCCAACAGTTTATGCCTGGAATGTGGGGCTGATTGTGGTGAAATGATGTTTGATCAGGGATGATTTTAATCATACTTCACACACTAATCAGTTTAACAAACTCAGAGAAGACTTAAAGGTAAGTGGTGCTTCTGGTGTTTGTTCTGTTCTCATACGCTTTTAAAATTCCAAAATTTATTTTTCCCTCTTTAGAAGTATTGAGCTCAGTTGGGAATCTCCAAATCTGAGCTTGTTTTCTGGAAAACAATCCATCAGTTTGTGGTTTTGATGAGCTACTGTATGTTTCATTCTTAGGGTTTAAATTAGGGTAAATACTGAATAGTATTGTAGAAAATAAGATTTTTTCATTTTCTTTCAGATAAACTTCAGATGTAAACCATCTTTCAGGGAGTCCGGTTCACGGAACATCCGGGAAGTGAGTTTCTTCTTTTCCTCTTCTTTATTTTATTTTTTAAATATCTCTTCCATTCTGCCTGTTTTCCGATTCTGTCAAACTTATTGCTGTAAAACCTTCATAGCTCGATATAAACAGCCAACAGCAGTCTGCTAAGAGACCGTTTTTATTATTAAGATAATAAGTTCTTCATTTTCTTCATTGTTATTTGTAAGTTTAAGATGTATAAGTAGCTGTCTGAATGACCCCAGACTGTTTTACACACACACTTTAGGGGCAGGTGCTGTTTGCTGTTTAAATCTTTCTTTTACCCTTTTTACCCTCTGTTTTCCTTTTTACACATCCCCTCTGTTGCTCTCACTGCTGTAATCCATCCCACGTCTCATCATCCCTATCTCTCCATTGCACTTCTGCTCCCTCTGTGTTCCCTGTCTCTTCCTTGTTTCCCATCTTGCCTTGGTGGGTTAGCATACCTGGCGACGCAGAGCTTTCAGAGGTTGCCGTGCTTTGGAGCAAATGAGGGGTGCTGCAGCTAAATGTAGTGCGCACACCTCTATCACACAGGTATCACACACACACCTTTCTTTACTTGGCTAAATGAGGGCTTGCGCATTTTTTTTGCGCATAATTACAATTACTACAAACGAACTAGTTAGTTAAAATTAGAATTTTTTCGTGTTTACAACAAATACTGTAGATAATGATCAACAAATAAATTTAGTATATGTAAATGAACATTGTGCGAAAGTTTCAAATCTGTTTGTACTCTCTGAAGTAACGCAAGTGTGGGAAGTGTGTCAGAAACTGAACAGTGCATTATAGTTATTATAAGGGGGATTACAGTTCGCTCTATTTTCTGTAATCATGTCACATCTGTGCCACTCACTTCTGGTACAGACATTGTGTAAGCCCAAACTATAACATTTAACCCTAAAAGACAACTTAAAACTACAAAAACGTATATAATTAATTTATACTTAATTTTTATAACTTAAAAAAATCTGAATGATCTTTCGTATGGGTATTTCTAAGGGAGTTTGTACCCAAAGTATTTAAGTATTCATTTTCCAACACTCACACAGGCATTTCATCATGGCGTTCAACTCATTTACAGACATTTTGAATACATCTCCAGAGGTTTTCTGTTCTCATGATTTCTGTTCTGCTGTCTTCTCCTTCAGATTTTATCTTGATGCCCCACAGCATAACCCCACAACATTACTGGTTTGATGTGGCATTTTTAGCACAGATTGTCATAATCTGTGAATGGCACAGCTATATGAGATCGTGTGTGTTTTTTTTTTATGGCAGCCAGCAATAGTGCGACACCACTGGGTCCATCGGGGAAGACAAGAGGGCAAATGCAAACAGTGTGGAAAGGTGGGTCTAATAGATCACAAGTGTTCAGACATAATCTGTTTGAGACATTACATATATTACATGTACATTTCAAAAGTCTAATGAATGAAGACTTAAGTTTATGACAGAATCTGATCTCCACCTACAGGGCTTTCAGCAGAAATTTGCCTTTCACAGTAAAGAGATTGTAGCCATTAGCTGCTCCTGGTGCAAACAAGCAGTAAGTCTCTCAGGCTTTATGCAATAGTGTGTTGTCGTACTGTAGAGTATGTAAATGTGTGTAACTTTCCTCTCTTTCTCTGTCTGTCTGCAGTATCATAATAAGGTGACATGCTTTATGCTGCAGCAAATAGAAGAACCGTGTTCATTAGGAGCACATGCCGCCGTTATAGTACCTCCTACCTGGATCATACGGGTTCGCCGACCTCAGGTATTACACATTACTTCTCTATTAGGATTGTTGGGCAGTTGTATTGGAAACATCCACAAGTCGAATTAGATAATGAATTGAATTTGGTGGCTGTGTAAATTATTAAGCAGTGCTATCAGCATCTCTATGGCTAAATTAAATGTAAAACGTGAGATGTAAACACCTTCGGTACAAACCCCAAGGCATTCTGGCTGCAATTTCTGCACATTTTAAAATCGTGGTGTAGTATTACTTTTTCAAACGTTTTTTAAGAAATGTTCTGCTCTGTTTTACTATGTTCTGAAATGTTTTTGTCTTCTTGAATTGTTTAAAAACTCCAACATACAAAATGTATGAGACAGCATTCTTTGTTCAGCACTCAATTAGAATAAGTAAAAAGTTTAAAGAAAAAAATGGCAGTTGTGTTCTGTGTTTTCCATGAATTTTAAACGCTCAGAAACTGTATAGAACCAGAGAGCATTTTTATGCTGAAATGTAAATCTTTTCATCCACAGGTACTGTAGTTTTCCATTGTGTTTCTAATGATTGTGATTTCGCTGTGGAGTGCTTTTGTAATGTTATTGTGCTACTTTTTAATCGTAGTCCTCACTAAAGTCAAGCAAAAAGAAGAAACGAACGTCTTTCAAACGCAAATCCAGCAAGAAAGGAGCAGAGGTATGAGTACAACCAAGTAATTGTTTAGTTTGCCCAGAGGATGATTCAATTAAATAAACAACTTTTTTGGGGGATTTGACATATTCACCCCAGTCACTTTCTTTTTCTTCTTTTCCAGGAGGCTCGATGGAAGCCCTTCATTGTGAGACCTATTCCCTCTCAACTCTTGAAGCCACTGCTGGTGTTTGTAAACCCAAAGAGTGGAGGAAACCAGGTATTATTATAACATGCTATAGCGAAAATAAGAAGTAATTATTTAGTATTAATTATATTAATAATAATTAAATAAAACACAAAAATAATAATCACCTATATCAACTTTTCCCCCTCTGTTCTCTCTCATTTTCTCTCAGGGAGCTAAAATCATCCAGTCCTTTCTGTGGTGTCTGAACCCTCGACAGGTTTTTGATCTCAGTCAGGGGGGTCCTCAGGAAGGGTCAGTACCTGCATGTGGAATACTTCACAACGGGGGTTCCCTGTTTTTGTTATCCGAACCCCTTTAACAGCTTTTATTAGCTTCTCATCAACAAAAGCAGTTAGTTCCATCACGGTTCGTAGGGTAGCTCTGCTTCAGAAGAACAATACTTATCTGTCCCATTGTTATGATGTGTTTCAATAAGATGATTGATATTTTTATGTATATTCATTCTTTTTATATGTTTTAGCTTGGAGATGTATCGCAAAGTTCACAACTTGAGAATTTTGGCCTGTGGTGGGGATGGCACGGTGAGTGAGTGAGTGTATGTGTGCATGTCTATATGTGACAAAATAATCTGCTAAGAAATAGTCTGTAATCACCTTGTGTAGCTGTTAGGCGAATGCATACTGTAGGAATTATGAACCCCTCCAGCAAGGAGGCGGCACTGCAGTCTTATCTCCCAGCCTGTGAGCGGCGTGAGAGATGATTCTCTTGAGTCATAATACTATTCACTATTCAGATGAGTCATGTGTTGGAGGAGTTTTCTGACATATAGTGCTGATGTGTGTGTCCTGGTTTACCCCATGCTGTCACATCTCCATAATCCGTTTGTGTGAGTAATTAAGAGTGTTAAAGTGGAATCTGAACGTGGTCATATTTCATACCCTGTGACTCTGATCCATGAGAGAGAAGTTTGGGAATAATGCCTTAAGCCCAACTGAAATAAGGAGTTTTAATCCACCCTTCCCATCAGTCGTCTTTTGTACAGTATAAAAACCATTACGCCTATGGGGAGTCCCCACAAGGATAGTGAACCAGACGTGTGTGTGTATGTGACAAAATAATCTGCTAAGAAATAGTCTTGTGATCACCTTTTGTTGATATTAGGGGAATGGTTTATGTAGGAATTATGAACCCCTCCAGCAGGGGGCGGCACTGCAGTCTTATCTCCTAGCCTGTGAGCGTTGCGAGAGATGATTCTCCTTAGTCATAATAGTCAAGTCAAGTCAAGTCACCTTTATTTATATAGCGCTTTTAACAATACAGATTGTGTCAAAGCAAGGAGGCGGCACTGCAGTCTTATCTCCCAGCCTGTGAGCGGCGTGAGAGATGATTCTCTTGAGTCATAATACTATTCACTATTCAGATGAGTCATGTGTTGGAGGAGTTTTCTGACATATAGTGCTGATGTGTGTGTCCTGGTTTACCCCATGCTGTCACATCTCCATAATCCGTTTGTGTGAGTAATTAAGAGTGTTAAAGTGGAATCTGAACGTGGTCATATTTCATACCCTGTGACTCTGATCCATGAGAGAGAAGTTTGGGAATAATGCCTTAAGCCCAACTGAAATGAGTTTTAATCCACCCTTCCCATCACTCGTCTTCCACCCTGCTGAACTGCTGTTTTCTGAGTTCAACATTCCATATATTCATATTAGGGGTCGACCGATATGTGTTTTTCAAGGCCGATGA